AGCAGTCAAAGTCATAATCATAGAAGCAATCAAAGTCGTAGTTTCATAGTCATAGAGAATCATAGTCTCAATATCACATTTGATTATATTAGTTTTTGCAAACTGATCAAGATAACAAAGATGACATTGTAGAGTGCATGATTTTTACGCCATGTTTAAAATCAGCATTTCGTAGCCGATTTTGATTTTTTATATTTAATTAATTAACCGAGAAAAGTCAGGTATCGATGGTAGCAGCAATAGTGTATGTCCATTGCAATGCTAATAATGCCTTTTAAAAGAAAAACAAATTGTGTGAAAGGTGTTTTAGTTTTGGTCACAATACGAACATTCTATAAAATCTGTGCACCAAAAGAACAGTAAAATAAAGACAGAGCCTGAGCAGGAAGTCACACACCACCGCACCATTCTGAGGCCAGGAAGTTATTTGCATAATATCATCAACGATGACTTGTCAGTCAACGAGATTTGTAAACTTTCGAGGTTTTTAATCTCATGTGCATACCTGGGTTTCCTATATTTTAAAATCATCGTATTTGGAGTATGTTCCACCATTGGAAATAATGGCAAAAACAAAGTCACTCCAAGTGCCCCTATACCTTAATAAACTGCTTGCATCCAAACTTACACCAGTCTCTGCCCTCGACGTTATTATAGAATTTTTGGTTTGATTCAGACAAAAATGTTGTACCTTCTAGTGATAAAGCCGGTGAGAATACATTTCTTTCTTAGTATGAATACACTGTGCCTATAATTTATACGTCATCGCTATTCAAACTATTACATCCCTAGTTTCTATTTATTCAAAAAAGGGAAAACTGTTTTAATTGGAGGCAACTTTTAACGAACAATATTGAATGTAGACTTTTGACCTTGCCTTTCTTTTACACTGAGATTTAATATGTTAGGAAGTTTTAAAAATGTTATATAATTCATCATCTTTTTCGTGTCTCCTGGTGGAGAATAGGGCCAGCGTCTCTGTCTTGAGGTGCTACTTCTGCCTCAATCTTGTATCCCCATTGATTTCCCTTCTTTTCCACAGTTCTTCTCCAATTTTTGTCAGTCTTCCCGCGTTTCTTCTGTCTACTGGTGCTCATGTTAAAGCGATTTTCCCCAATCCACTTCCACTGCCTGTTTTTTTTTACAATCTCACTTATTGTTTGATTTGTGATCCTCATTGGCCAGTGTATTTTCAATATTCTTCTCAATGCCTTGTGCAGAAATGTGTCCAGTTTCTCTTCATCGCTTTTCGTCATCTTCCACGTTTCACATCCGTACAATAAAAATGCTAATTTTCAGTCAAGTTGATTTGCATGCATATTCATATGATCACCTGGCTTCTTGAGTTGGATACAGAGCAATATCGTCGACGAAGTCTAGGTCGTCTAATTTCTCCATAAACTTCCATCTGATCCCGGCTGTTGTGGTTTTCTTCATAACGCAATCAATGAAAAGTAGGAACCCTGACATATTACAGCCATGGTTCACTCCCGATTTTACCTCGAACTAGTCTGTCTTTCCGCTTTCATCCATAACCACACACTGACTTCCATCGTACATTGCCTTCACAATTTTTATCAGCTTTGAATTCCATAATTGCTCATGATTTCCCACAGAGTTGCTCTTCTAACGATATCAATAATTTTTTCAAATCTATAAAACAATATGGCATTCCATTCTATTGCCCGCTCCGCAATGTTTCTATAATAATAAAAAGGTCAATTAAGTAGACAGAAAAACTTATTTACAATGGTTTGCTTAGACACAGATACTTATTTGTATACCTCTATATACACATATTGGAGTATAACTAAGGATGATTACAGTGAATTAAATAGTCTTTCACTTCATTTTTAAAATTTGCTCGACTACGAATCAATTGGATATCCGGGGGTAAGCTTTTCCACATTTTACTGATTAGTTATTTGTAATTGATAATGGCCATAAAATTGATGTAATTCTGATTTACTGTAGCTGATTGATTATTATAATCAATATTAAAATCACCAATTAAGATACACTTTGATTTAGTAACATTTATATTCATAAGGTGGTTTTCTAGGCCAGTACTGAAGTCATCCACATTTGTTCCTGGTTTTCTATATATAATGCCTATGTTAAAATGAGTGTGTAAGAGTTCAAGTGTAATTCTAGCCACAAGGTTTCAGGGTGGGGAATATTGTTAGAGTTCAATACACAGTAATCAACCGAATTGTGGATATATGCTGCCACTCCTCCCCCAAGTGCACTAGTACGACATTTCTTGACAAGAGTGTAATTATGGATATTGAAATAAGATGAATCATTGATTTGCCAAGTTTCAGATAAAGCGATGACATGGAATTTTGGAGATAATGTATTTTCACATAATAATTTTAGTTGGTCAATGTTTTTGTTTAATGATCGAATATCATGTGTAAAATTGACAATGCACCTGGTGGAGAGTTTGGAAATTGTGTGTTGAAGTCTTGTACAGAGTATTTATTACATTGGAATTTATGTAATGAAGATGAGTCTAAGACTGTCATGAAAATAGAAATGATTTCACATTGCTATTTCACTACCACAATTTAGATGTATTAAACAATGCGGGGTATATCATTTTCACCTGGGATAAGCATACCTCTTGAATTATCATTCTTCTTAATATAAATCTTTCCATTATTTGTCCATAAAAATCTATACCCAGCTCTCTTTCTTGCAATATTTACCTTAAACAGAAGTTGACGTGTTGCTAATGCTAAATTTTCATTAATAAAGATTCCTCGCTGTAATGTCTTTCAAGTTATTTCTATTTTCGTAAATGGAATTTCTACAACTTCGCGTGGTAAACATAACGATAATTGGTCGTGGTTTGGTGTTTTCATTTTCACTGTTGTTTTCCCTTGTAGGAAGACGTTGGGCAATGTCGATATCACTTGCCTGTATCTCTGGATTGACTTTCTTAAATACTGACAATATGATAGCTGTTGTATCTTCATTTTCACTCACAGGCACGCCGCTAATTTCCAGGTTAATTCTCTGTTGATACTGATTAAGATCTGTAACTTCTCTTTCCAGCGCTATCACCCGTTGACCCAAATCTTTGTGTACTTGTTTGAGTTCTTTGTTACATTGAAACACCTGGTCCAGACGAGCGGACAGAGCTTCATATTTCTCATTAAAAAATCAAATGAGCTGACCAAGTCCGCTTGCTTTTTTTCACCTTCATTTCCGATCTTCAATAGTTGTACACTGATGGGTTGCAGCATGGCATGTAGTTGGTCAGCCGGTGGCATACCAATGGACATGGACGTCTTGTCACTTTTACTTTCACTTTCTGTTGATATTGACCTTTTTATATTACAACTTGCGCATAGCATCATTTCGCCTTGGCACAACTTTACACCCTTTCTGGCATTACAATCGTGGCATTTCATGGTGAGGTAGATAGATCTATATGCTTGAACAAGTATATGCTTTTATGATTTGCTGTTCTGGTCCTGTTTACCCGTGCACTTTAAAGCCTTGCATTATGAATGACCAAATCAATATCTTACACTCTGGTGATTGTAAGCCAGAACACTTTCTCAAATGTCCTTTTTTTCAATCTTCCGGCACCATTTCTTTGTGCCACACTTCTGTGAAAAGCTGCTATAAAATTTGTACTGTGATTTCTTTGTCAGGTCTAAGTAGTTCAACACTGATGCTGTCAGTCCCCGGTTCATTTCCTGTCTTCTCATCTTGTAATGCTTCTTTTATTTCGGCTTGTGTGGGTGGTTCTGTATTTTTGAACTCTAGGTTCTCTTTGTCAATTTCTGCAATTCGCTCCGAATCTTCTCGTTTTAACACTTCCGTTGATCTTATGTTCATCTGTCAGCAAATTTTCATCATCATCCTTCACCATTCCAATCTTTTTGGAAAATCATTGCATGACTTTCTGGTTGCTCCACACACTGCTTTCATTTGGCCATTTCAGCTACATTTTGCGCTTCCTTTGCTACCCATTTATTTTTGTCTTGTCTTATGAATCTTTTCACTTCTCTGTCCTTTCTTGTGTATTTTAACTGCCACATTTTTGTGAACGTGTGTGAATGTGCCACTTCCATCTTATCTTTTAACTCTCTTCTATCCTCAATGTTTACCTCTCCTGCTCTTTTTCTCCAATCACCCCTTTAGCAGTTTCATTGTAACAGCCCTTTGATTTTCTTTCTTAAGCTTCTGTTTGATTTCTGGTAATTTCAGTTTGTTCACTTCGTATCTAAACACAGTTTTGTTCCTTTGTCCGACTTTGTCATGATGAAATGTGGTCACTAGCTGCATCTGCTCCTCTGTATGCTCTTTTATCCAATTATAGCAACCATATTGTCATTTGGTTCAACACGCTCTTTAGTTGATAATACACTAACTTATTTATTTGTTTATTATTTGATTAGAAAATATATTTGGCAATTTTTTAAAAAGCTTTACTTGTTCCTAACGAAAAATGTATTTATTCTCAGCATTTTTGTTTTAATAAGGATGCCCTACAAATTTGAACTTTCCAGTATTAGATAACTTCAGGTAAATACCAAAATATGATATAGATTATTTCACCCTGATTAAGTTGATATAAATTGTCTTGCATGTATCAAATGACAAAAAAAATGATGTTCACAGTATTATAATAATTAATTGACGATAAATTACGTACATGAGTACATGAGCGTTATCATTACACGTTATAATAAATATTTTAACAGTGTTTTTGTATTTTTTGGTGTTTGTTATACTTTTCGATCTACACAAGAATCATCCATATTGGAATCACACTATCATTATATAGATATATAAACCAACAAGTTTTTTTTTTAAAAGAACATCAACCACTATCAACCACTATCCAGCAAAATCAACGTGAATTCTTAGCCACACTTTAGTAGGCCAATTTTATGGATGCAAAGGTTGTAACGGTGGGTTGTTTCTGACAACTTGACAAGCAGGACACCCTTTCACCAACTCTTCAATGTCTTTATCAATACCTGGCCACCAAACATGTATTCTTGAAAGCGATTTCATCTTTACAATTCCAAGGTAACCTTGATGGAGTTCTTTCAACACGCGATGACGAAATTTTGGTGGGATGACTACTCGAATTCCCCATAATAAACATCTAGATTTCACAGTTAATTCGTATTTGCTTCTAAAATATGGTTGCAATTCTCCACAAAATCTAACAAAATTGGATCTGATCTGGTTGATTGTTGTATTTGTTTTTCAGTAACTGGTAACAATTCAATTTGGTGATGTTAAACAAGCTTGATTCTGACAATTTTGAGTTACATTAGATATAATTTAGTGGTAACCGTGATAATGCATCTGCATTTTGATTTTTCGCAGTTGGTTTATATTAAATGGTGTAATTATAGGCCGCAAGTTGAATAGCCCAACGTTGTAATCTAGCGGCTGCTAACGCGGGAATTCCAGTCTTTGGCCCAAGGATTTTAATTAATGGTTGTTGATCTGTAATTAGTACAAATTCTCTACCATATAGATATTGGTGAAATTTCTCTACTCCAAACACTAATGCGAGTGCTTCTTTTTCAATTTGAGAATATTTTTTCTCCGATTGTGAAAGTGTTACAGATGCAAATGCGATGGGTCTTTCCTCTCCATTTATAACTTGCGATATAACAGCTCCCACACCATATGGCGAGGCATCACAAGCTAATTTCAATGCCAATTCATCACTGTAACGGACCAAGACATGGGCTGAACTCATCACCTTCATCTTTCAGTGATCGAAAGGAGGCATCGCACTCATCTGTCCATTTCCAGGGCACATTTGTCCCAATAGATGGTTGAGTGGATGGGCTAACATTGCCAAATTTGGAATGAATATGCCATAATAGTTTAAAATTCCTAGAAAGGATTTCAATTGCATGGGTTAAATCTAATTTAGTAAATTTCTTTCTGCGATTCAAGATTGCAAACATATCCTCTGGAATAGGTAGAGGATATTGGCGAATACATAACACTGGGTGAATTGTTACTTTATAGTCATCGCATATTCTGATGGCACCATTGGGTTTTGGTTAGTACAGAAACAATCGGTGCTGCCCAAACACTATAATCAACTTTTTCAATTACTTTCATTCTTTCCAACCTATTCAAGTCGTTTTCAATTACTGTTCGCAAGGCATATGGCACAGGTCTAGGTTTGAAAAAAATAGGCATAGCATCTGGCTGTATGACCAAATCCGCTTTAATACATGCATTGTACCTAACTCATCCTGAA